ATTTACAGGCTTTCCGGGGTAACGGCTGCATTTAAATGAATTATTATTATTATTTCTGCAGTTTAGCGCCATCTGCTGTCAGAGAGTGAAAGTGCGCTTTCATCCAGAGCGTCTCTCACATGTTCCGCCATGTGCACGCGTCTTTCACGCAGCATACAGCGGTGTTGTGCATTAGTTGTGCAAGTCTATATTACTATTATTTTTATTATTGATAGCAGCTTCTCTGTAGCCATGCTAATAAAATACAACTACCACTACAACTGATTTTAATTGTTTTCTATGCTCCAGACCTATATAATAACAGACGGCTGCAATAATGTTCTCTTCCATTGTCTGATTCAACTGGACGTGTCAAGAAGCTCTTCGCTGATTGGCTTGCACCAGAACGCGTCATGCAAATTTTCTGCTCGCGTTGAAATTTTTTTAATTGAGCGGAAGACGCGATTGAGGCGAATATCGTGCGTTTGCGTCATTCACGTCTTTGCGTTGACTTTGTATGTAATCTACTCGTGAGAATAATTACATTCGCGTCTGGTGTGAACACACCATAATTCTTTTAATTCAAATTAAAATTGAAATTTAACTCAAACTTCCATACCTTTGCCAGACCGGCTCGATGAGCTCCTTGGGTCTCGATATAAGCGATGTACTTCCCAAAGTCCTTGAACTCCTCCATGGTGGGTCTGAAGGTCATGATCTTGTAGGAGTTGGCCGCTGGAGGCGGCGCTGGGAACGGTGGTTCTGGTGTGAGTTCTGGTGCTGAGGGCTCTGGCTTTACTTCTGGGTTCAGGGTTGGTTCTGCAGAGGGTTCCTGGGCCGTATCTGAAGCCGGTTCCTGGCTGGAGTCCAGGGTGGGTTGGACAGGTGAATCGTGAGCAGTGTCTGCTTGTGGAGTGACGTCTGGAGCCGGTTCAGGCTCTGGGTTCAGGTCTGGAGGTAAAGACGGGTCCATGACTGCAGGTCAGCTAAAGCTGCGGACGCAAATACAAAAACATCACCAATCAATACCCACACCACTATTACTAATACTTACAGTCATTCAGAGAAAAACTGCGCTGAGACGAACTAAAAATGCTGATTATAAACTTTGGAATAACTGTTTTCTGTAAAAGTTCTATTTTCTAACATCGTCATATAGGCTAGGTTTGAATTTATATGAATGTATAGGTGAGCACAAAACCAGTCATAAGGGTCAATTTTTTAAAATTGAGATTTATACATCAGCTGAAAGCTGAATAAATAAGCTTTCCATTGATGTATGGTTTGTTAGGATCGGACAATATTTGGTTGAGATACAACTATTTGAAAATCTGGAATCTGAGGGTGCAAAAAAATCTAAATATTGAGAAAATCATCTTTAAAGTTGTTCAAATGAAGTTCTTAGCAATGCATATTACTAATCAAAAATTAAGTTTTGATATAGTTACGATAGGAAAC